TAATGAATGAATGAAAGTGTTTATCGGTTATTTGAAAGAATTCATAAATAACTAATTAAGAAGATATTTGGTTTCACAAATTTGAATCGATCAATGGTTTGTGAAAAATAAGTTTGTGGGCAATATAAAATGGAAAGCAAAGACAGACCTATCGATTTTTCTATCAAGTAAAAAGTCTTAAATATCAACAGAATTTCTTTCCTTCTACTTTTCGTCTGAGATATCGTATTTCATAAACTTTTTTTGAATTTCAGATGCGACCGTGTTTTTGATGGTTTTAGTTTTATTTGGTCAATTATTTCAAAGTTATTGTGAAAGTTTGCATTTTATGTGGAAGGTGAGCTAATTAGTTCCCTTTGCATAATTAATTGATTATTACACGTGGTTTTTCTACATGTTTTTTTACCGGATAGAAATGATTAATGAGTCTCGATCATTTAAAAGACACTTTAGGAAACGTTCAGTGAACGGCGGATGAATAGCTTTTAACAATATGGATAATCATTGTGGAATAGACAGTGAAGATGATAGAATATTCTATGAATTATCTGCCGATAATGAGGATGCTACACCGATGGAAGTGGAATCGTTATGTGTTAATTGTCATCAGAATGTTAGTGATTGAGCTTAAAGTTGTCATTCAAATTTTATAAGTGTTATTTTTCTATCATTCTCTGGAGGCAAACCCTTTTTTTATGTTCTGATATTTTGAAGAAGACAAACATTCTATTTTTTTATTTCCCATTCCTATTATACTTTTCATGATAACAAATTCATTTCTTCACTTCTTCCGAATTAAATAAGTGTTTTACTTGTTATTGCAGATAGCATGAAATTTATTGCTGACTAGGCATAACGATCCTTCCTGTTATTATTAGAATTATCATGAAGTACTATGTCTAACTATATAATATCCAATAAAGTAAATAGTATGAATTATCGGTGGTCTTTATGGACTGCTTATTATTTGAAATGGTGAAATTTTCATTGCTTGTAACTTGTGAATAATAATGGTTATTTATTTACAGGGTATCACTAGAATACTTTGTACAAAAATCCCTTTTTATCGGCAGATTATTGTAATGTCATTTAGTTGTGAACATTGTGGCTATAGCAACAACGAGTTGCAAAGTGGTGAAGCAGCACAAGTAAATTCTATTTCTATATATAGATGGTAAATTTGAACTGAGCATTTTTTCGTAGTATTATTGATATTACCAAAATATGTAAGTCAGCTAATAATCTAAGCGTTTTATAAAGGCATATAAAGTTTTACATCGCAATGAATGATTTGCCGACTGATACGTAAAATAAATAATAAAACATTTAGTTTGCTACGGTTCTTTTATGTGCAATAAAGTATGTTCGATGTTATAGGAACACGGAATCGAAATTGTTCTGAGTGTAAAAATTTTATCGGATTTGAACCGGCAAATTGTAAAATCAGAATATGCCGAAGTCGAAATCAAAGAACTGGAACTTACCATTCCTCCGAAATCACAATCTGGTGGTTCGTTTTTTAGTATTCTAAATAAATAAGTGTATATCCATTTATTGATATCAGCTTTCTTAATTCTTTAGCATATAATTGCTCACTTCTTTAGTATATCATTTCTCTCGCTAAAGGGAGCATATATTCCTAATGTACATCGTTTTGTTCTAGAAATTACGACCGTGGAAGGAATACTACAGCGCGTGATTACCGGCCTCAGTCAAGATCAAAGTCGAAGGCGTCAGTGTTATCCTGAAAGTGCTAGAAAAATTGATGATTTTATAAAACGAGTGGAACGACTAATTAATCTGCAAGAAAAATTCACTCTAGTATATTCAGTTTTCAGTTCTACTTTTCATTTTCGCTAATTAGTTTCGTTTTGCAGCAAACAGAAAAAAATGGGCAGGTTAAAAAAGAACTAATAGAAGGAAAGATGATGAAGAGAGGCAAGGACACTCTATCATTATAATATGGATTAAATAGAATTTAGCAATTGTGAATTTGTTTCAGAGGATAAGGGATGTGTCCGGCAACAGTTTTGTTCAAAATCCTACTCCATTCCATCTGGATCCGCAATGCATCGTAACGCATTTTAACCGAGATCTTTCCGATAAAAAATTGTTGGGGTTTGTGGCTGACGATGCGAATGAAGTAATTTATTTTTTTAGTGTTTTAATTTTCTATATTTTTATTTTGTGATTTCCCCAATTTTTAAAATGGGCTATTTAATGTCTTCTTTCAGGAGGAGTCTGCTCCATTTCAGTCATATGATGATGCAAAAAACGAAGTATTAAGATTTGCCACTGACTGTCCTAATTGTGGCGCTCTGACGCAAACATGTATGAAGCCTACAGGTATGTTGCCGAAGTTATACATATATTTACAGGTTCCATTTTAATTGCACGTTTTTTTTTTATTTTACGATAATCGTTTTTTATAAGTACTAAAAACGATTGTAGTAATCTATCGTAATATTAAAACTTATAGATATCCCCTATTTTACAACAGTTATTCTAATGTGTACAGCTTGTGATGGTTGTGGTTGGAAATCGAATGAAGTCAAAAGTGGTGCTGCTATACGAGATCATGGCTGCAGGTTAACTGTTTTGATAGAAAAAGTTGGTTTTGACTCCTATGTTTTTTGAAATGATAGAAAAATATGGGAAAAGATGATGGAAAAAGAAAATAACAGCTGAAAATCCCTGACATAACTTCTATCTCAGAGTCAGTTGTATTATGAGAGAATGCACCAGTATAATTAAAAAGATCAGGAAACTTCAGAAGTTAAATATTAAACGAACTTCTGATGTAAATATTATTCTTAAAATAGTTTTGTTGCAGGATATTGATCTTGCGCGGGATGTCTTGAAATCAGACACATGTAGTATGTCAATTCCCGAACTCGATTTGGAAGTGGGTTCCGGTGCCTTATCAGGAAGATTTACAACTGTCGAAGGCTTACTTGTAGCTACCAGGGATCAACTTAAGGTTCGTACGTTTTACTAATTGATTTTTTCGTAAACATTCTGTTTTTGTTGGGTGAAAAAAAGTTTTTGTACGCTTTTTGATTTACTTCACTTGTATTTGCCTTATTCGCTTTTTTCACTTTTTTCAGGAACAAGGATCTTTCTTTTTAGTAGGAGATAGTAAGAGTGAAGCAGAAAACGAACAAATGAAGAAATTTCTGGATAACTTTGAGCAAATATTACAGTTGCGAAAGAAAGTTTGTTTAGTTTTAGATGATCCAACGGGTAATAGCTATATTCAGGTGAGTTTTGAAAACATCTGTTAATATCTTTTCTTCGTGCAATTAAATGGCATATCGTTTTAACTTTCTAAATGTAATTAGGATTAATAGTTTTGGTGCTCTTTTTCTTTCATGTAAAAGCTGCAAGGTAACACTGAATTATGGTCTAATAAGTAATCAAGAAGTTTCATTTAGTTAAAAGATTTTTTGAGAATTAAATTTCAGTTTCGCCTAATAAGTATTGAGTGGTTAACCAAAAATATCAAACACTCACATTTCTGTAATTTAGTTCAAAATTCTAGAGTCTAAATGCCCCAATGGATGATAGCCGCTTAAAAAAAGAATACTACGAGCGTAGCAATGAACAAAATGATGAACTTGGTTTAAACGATATGAAAACAGAAAACTATTCGGAGTTAGAGACTATTAATGAATATGAATAATTTAAATTTAAACAATAACATCAATTTGAAACACTTTTCTATCTTCACATTACTTGTATTAAGTGTGTAATTATGTAGCGGAATACAGAGTAGTAAAATTTAAGAAAAAAAAAACTATATTTGATCTATAGTTTTACAGCTACGGTAAAGTTTATCAAAAGTTTGGGAGTAACTTTAGAAGATTTGTATTTTTTAATAAAAATAACACTAATTTGTTTAATAATTTTACTTGGTGATTTTTTTTGCATGTCTCTACTTGTACGGTGTTTTTTTTTTTGGAATTGTTTCATACCTCACTGTTGTTTAATTCGCTGAAATGAGTTTAGTAAGAGTTTTTGTTCAGTGCTGTATATTGTCTTATTCGTTCCGTTTATGTTGTTTGCTCTTTTTCTTTGAATGGAAATGAAAACATACCGATAGAGCGCTTTCTGTGTGGAAGTCATCACTTAAAGAGAAAAGTTTGAAAGAGTAAATACAATTTCAGTTGTTTCCTTGTCAAAATGATCTTTGTTTTGGTTTAAAAATAGGACAGATATTCTGAAACGAGGAGAAATTTTAATTTCAATTTCATTTTTCTTTTTTCAACAATAAAAAAATAAAGGCGAGTTCTTTCTCTCTGTGCATGCTTATCGTTAAAAGATGAGACTGAATTGAGCGAGAGAAATTAGAATATGTGATATGAAGTGTAAAACGATCCATGAATGTATTTGCTTAGAAATATTTAATTTCTTTTATAAGCTACTTTTCTAAAAAGCAAGTGTTTATTAATTAATTTCACCGGGCTTTTAAAATAGATTTTAAAATCTACTAGCACTAAGTAGCTCTAACAATGATAACTGGAACCGGTTTCAATTGGATATTTGCTGTTTAATTGAATGACAGGGACCGGTTCATTTCAATCCTATAATCACAGTTTGAATTGAATTCGGAAAATGAAATGCTTCTAAAACTGCAAAGTCATATCCCAAAATTTCCTACGGTTGGATTTCTCAATTCAATATAAAGTTCGATGCTTGGCCTTAGGGGAAAATGTTCAGCTATAAAAAGGATTGTTCTCATTTTTTCATCTCCATAGTAAGCGTAGGAGTTAACTCGTAGTTTCATAGCAACAATTCACTAACACATAGCAATTGTATCGATTTCTGCATTTGGTATGCAATTATTCAATGTCTTCTGAAGTCTTGATATTTAAATTTGAAACCTGAAGTTCTGATGTTTAAATTTGAAATCGGTGAAAGGGTTTGATCTTATTCTTAATCATTCCATTACTTTATTCCCTGCTGATCGCAGTGAATTGCTTTAAGATGCATTTTTAGCTATATGTAAAATCTTCCAATAAAATTATGCTGAAAATTAGCCACTGAAAAAAAATGGAAAACTAAAGAAATATTATTGGATGTTTTTAGGCAATTGTTAATAGTAATAAATTAATATAAGATTAACATAGCATCGTTATATTCAGGCCATAAATTGATCATTGATTAATTAATCATTTAATTCATTCAGGCATATGAATTTAATTTATTGTGATATTAACGAGCTGCTGTTGGCGAATTTTACTTTATTTTTCCATGGAAACTGGTATTGTTATTTTGCAGTCTTGTAATATCAATAATGCTAGCTTGATATTTCTGTCTCATTAACATCTATCGTTTCATCAAGACTAACTAAAACACAATATATCTTTATGTCAGTGTACATGAATGGCATGATATGCTCAAAATAGTGTTTGAAGTGTGTAATATATAAGATAAATTTAACAACTATGCATGATATATATACATATAAAGATGCACATATTAGTAACGGTATTCAAGTAATCATGCATAATTGTTAAATTTATCTTATCAATTTATTAATCGTATTATTTTTGATAATATTATAATTAGTATTCTCTAATTATAATGATATAAATTGAACCATTGATCAGATTGATCGATAATTTAAAAAATTTGACGAATACATCGTATAATCTTACTATCATTGATGTATTTAATTCTTCCACAAAACGCATAATTTTAAAACATTATCTAACAAATCACACATCAGTGCATTATATTTATTTATCGTTATTCACGTGCATGATATTTAGCTTGATTAATCTCACAATTATGTCATAAAATGCGATTTGATTATATCATTTGTGCTATTTTCTTAG